TTCTTTTTTTTTTTTTTTTTTTTTTTTTTTTTTGGGGGTTTTTTTTTTTTTTTTTTTTTACAGGAATCTATTGCAGCTATTAGCTTTGGCAACAAGGGATCTAGATACTTATGTTCCGGGGGAAGTGGTCAAGTTGTAAGAATATGGGATTTGCAGAAGAAGCGCTGTATCAAATGGTTAAGAGGTCATACGGATACAATAACAGGTGCGATGTACAATTGCAAAGATGAGCACTTGGCTTCCATCAGTCTTAGTGGGGGTCTTATTCTTCACAATCTTGCTTCTGGTGCAAGGGCTGCTGAACTCAAGGATCCTAACAATCAGGTTGATATTTGGCTCCAATTTTTGTCTGAAAGACTATTAGCACCTTGGTATTTTTTTTTCTTGTGTTTGTAATTTATATTATTGTTTCTTTGTATTCTAAATGTTTGTGTGATAATTATTGTGACTAGGTACTGAGAGTACTTGATTATTCTCGGATCAGCCGGCATCTTTTGGTCACAGCTGGTGATGATGGATCCGTACATCTGTGGGATACAACTGGTCGCAGTCCAAAGGTATGCTATAAAATGTTATATTGTTTTAAGCTGCAGAAACCTGATATAACCTGATAAGCTGGTTTTGTTAATGGGACTTCCTCATGTGTTTAGCTATTTATAATTTTTAGGGCCTTTAGACAGTTTGAAACTGTGGGATTCTCAAAATTCCTGCCGCTTTCAAGTTTGTCTAGTGATTTCCATTCAACTACTTAAAACCTAAAATGAATTGGAAGCCGATGCATGTAGTCTAGGGACAACATTAAGCAACACACAGATTGACTTGTCTCTCTTTAGCGAAATTATGGCTCTTCTGTTTATCTTTTGGTGCAATTGTATTATTTTTAAATGGAATGACAGGAGAATTTTTAACCATTTGTTGAGTGGTCCAAGATGCATGGTCCAAGATGTTTATTGATAGCTGTCTCAGTGCAGATGCATTGGTTCAATTTGTGAAACTGAATTACCAACTTTTAAGTTTTAAATTTACAACACTTTGTCATAAATTTTGACCAGAGCTTTGTTTCTAGTTTTATGATGTACTTGTCAAAAGATGTTTTCAGTTCTCAATTGGCTATCTTTTTGCACTTTGCAGGTTTCTTGGTTGAAGCAGCACTCTGCACCAACTGCTGGTGTTAGTTTCTCACCGTCAAATGACAAGGTCTCTTATTTATAATATTACTTTGATTTGTTTCATGTTTGTATGGTAAATGGAACCCACACTGTAAATTGTCTGTGGATGATGAAGTTTCTTAGGGACAAATTTGGCCATATCATTCTGATCATATCTTTTACTCACGTGGCATAAGTGCAGGTAATTGCTAGTGTTGGCCTTGATAAAAAGTTATACACTTTTGACTCAGGGAGTAGGAAACTCGCATCTTGCATTTCTTATGATGCACCTTTCTCTTCATTGGCATTCAGAGATGATGGCTGGATACTGGTTGCTCGAACAAGCAATGGGCGAGTGGTGTTCTATGATGTTCGTGGAAAACCACAACCTCTGGTTGAACTTCATGCATATGGCAATTCTGAGGTCAATTTCCTTTCTTCAATCTGTTGTTATTTAGATAGAGAGATCTAAGTTTAGAGTCCTATATATGCTTGGCATATACTTGCATGATATAGCTTATGAATGTGTGTGAGAAATTTCATTTTTCTTCAGGTAATATGTATTTTTCCATAAATTCTAGAGATCCGATGAGCTATTCATTCATTCAGAAGAGATAGAGTGTTTTTTAAATGAGCTCAACAATATCTAATGTTAATGAGGTATTGAGAGGATGCTCTTTATAACTGCTATTTACATGTGTTGCCCTCAATTGATAGTGTTTTTAAAATGTGCTCAACAATATCTAATGTTAATGAGGTATTGAGAGGATGCTCTTTATAACTGCTATTTACACGTGTTGCCCTCAATTTTTCAGTTGAGGTGATTCAATGGATGGGCCTCTTCTAGGATGACTTTTGAATGAAGCTAACTAGCACCATCAATAGAGGTGATTCAATGGATGTGCCTCTTCTAGTAGATGTTTTATGAGGGGGAAAAAAAAAGAAAGAAGAGGAAATAGTTATTAATGTTGCAAAACACGCTCATTTCATGGGAAGTTATATAATGATGTTTGTCAATGGTCCATCCAAGATTGTCGCCTCTTAATTTTAGTTTAGATTGACATCACGGTCAACTGATTAATGAGTCTTACCATAAATTACACTTATTATCCTCATGTTTATCATTGACAGCGCATTATGAATTTCAGCGGGCCGTAAAAAGTATGTTCTGGCAAAGTTCAAACATTACTTTTGGTTTGTGTTTATAATAAAGGTCAATGAATCACAGGTATTAAGTTATCATTATGGTTATTAATGTTTATAAAAAGCATGTTCTGGCAAAGTTCAAGCATTATGATTTTCATCAGGCCGTCACAAGCCTCTGCTGGCAAAGATCGAAACTAGTTTTGGTAAATGAAAACAATTGCACAGCTGAGACTGCTCTTCTGGGAGGTGCTGTTGAAGATTCACTCCTTATGCCTGATCCACTCCCTTCTGTGACATCATCAAGCCTTTCAACTTCTATAACGACAGCTGGTTCTCGAAACCCTGGTCGTTCAGGCCCTTCTATAGAGTCATCTTCCATGTTAGCAACCAGTAGTGGGTTTATGTTAAGCTCGCTTCATTCATCTACAACAGAAGAAACACCACTTTTCGGCACTTTGTGGACTGGTGGAAATTTGACGAGATTCCATGCTCCTCGTAATTATAATTTCAAGGATGATATGAAAGTGTTTTCCCCACTTGTGGAAGTCCAACCTATTACACCATCGCTTGATAAACTTTGGGATCAGCATGAGGGTGCAAAAAAAGATCATCTTCGAGTTGATAAGAAACCTTCTTTGCTCTTTCCTTCATCGAATAGGAGATTTCCTCTTTCAGAGGAAGGAGGTGGTAGTGATCATCCAATTTTTGACTGGAATCCTAGTTCAACTTCCAAACAGGTTTACTTTTTGCCCCTCTCTAATTCCCTTTCAATTTTATTGAATCACTTGTTTGCTGCCTGACATTTACTAATTTAGATTGAGAGCATTAATTACTCATCATTTAAATAATTCTGTATATCTTTCCAATTTATCAAAAAAAAAAAAAAATTCTGTATACCTTTCCACTTGAGGATCAAAATTGACCTTTCAGTCCATGATGCCCCTAACATCATATTGAGATGGGAAGTGAACTGTTTGGCTATAATTATTTCATTTTCTTTTTGTATTGTTTTGGTTTTCCCTCTGTCCCTCTGGCTATAAGTATTTCATTTTCTGCAACTAGCCAGACAAGTATGAGTTACCTAACAAGTTCAAACCTGATCTCGGCAAATTTACGCAACAGAGACAACTCCTCCAATCAAGAGTCTTCACTGGGATTTCCAGAGCATATCCCCTTCAGTTCTATGTCCCTTTCTCTAGGAACAAAAAGTACTACTTTAGGGCAGTCTAACCTTGATTCTCTGGGGTCAGCATTAAACCACCCTCGAAAATTTACCACTTATGCTGAAAGGATGAGTACTAATCTGGCCTTTAGTGATGGAACATCCCTCTCGGTGGGTTCACCAAAAACAAAGAAAACAGGAGCTGAAACGAGAGAAGAACTGGCAGAATAGCTTGTTATCAAGGATGGACACATTATCTGCTACAGAACAAAGGACTATTCCATATGCGAATGTAAGATCACCATCATGGATTTATCTAATTTATTGTTTGTACAATTTTTCTGTGCCTCCATTTATAACTAGAACATAACTAGAACTGTGAGGTAGACTTACACTTTGTGATAATTCAACATCTTAACCTTTCACCCAGATTTCTTAAGGAATTTGTCAAGTTTGAAAATATGGTGTTTTGAGAATTGTCTTAATTGTCTACAGGCTCGTGAATTTGTGAATGAGCTTCAAGCTAGTACCAAAGCATCAAGAAATCCAACCATGTGGCCTGAAGCTTCCACAGGAGCCAGCCATTAGTGCAAACAATGCAGACACTTCTACAGTTTCAGAGGTGTACACCAAAATGCTTACCATTTTTATTCCATTCCTTGTAGATGAGGTTTCGATTTTTCTACCAATTTTTGGAAACACAACTAATATTTCTTTTTCTTTTTAGTGTTTAAACTTGAGTTCTTATTGCTTAAACTGCAGAGTTCTTTCTTTGCACATTTCATGTGCTTTGAGGTTCCTGCACTTGTACCACCTGGAGGTGTTGCCAGTGGCAACAAAACTGGATTGAATGATGATGACACTAATGATGATGATCTGGGTATCTTGGATATTGATGAAAATGACAGCAAAACTGGTAATTCTTTTCTAAATAGTCCTCATTATGTTCAGCCCTGTTAAAGTCTGTTCATCCCTGGTTATCAAATTTGTAGGTAAAAATTCTGCAGAGCTAGCAGCACTAAATGAATCACTTCAGGAACTGCTTGACGGAATACAAGTAATGTTTAAATTATTTTAATTGTTATTGGGCATTTAATAGTTACTAGATTATCCAATTGGCTCTTTTTATGTATTGGGCCAGTTTGGTTTGGTTAGTGATGGAAACAAATCAAAAATAAGAATTGGAAGGGTAGAACAAATTGACAAATACCAATCCCCACAACACAAATGGTCTCGACCTCAAGTTATTGGTCACTTGAATATAAACTTACCTTCCCACTGAATTTTACAAGACTTCAGCTCCATTGCAATGACTCCAACCAACGTTGTCCTATGGTAATTCAATGGCGCACTTAACAAAGGAAACTTCAGTTCTTCCTGCCAATGACGGTTGCAGCCCTTTTTATAAATGAAAACGAGACGTGAAGGAAAATACAGTTGTCATTTTCTAATGTTTTTTTTCAAATACAGTTTCTAAAATAGGTAATTGTATGATGATAAGCCGCTTGTGTTTGGCTCAAGTTAGATGGAAGGATTGAAATAATCATTTGGTGGGATTATTCATCATATTTACATGAATTCTCAATTTCAAATCTAACAAATCAAGTTACAATATGATGCCATGTTATTTTACTGTTATTTTTGTTCCATTAATCTGAAATTTATTACTTGCTATGAGACAAAGCTACACTGAGAGTTGGCTAATGTATTTCTATACATCCATTTCAATGTCTTTACAGAGCCAAGGTGCCGAGAATGCCAACACGGAAGGCATAATTGCAAAATGTGATACAAAGTTTAACAAGAAGTTTAGCACCGACAGATTGAGTCTGAAATAAGAAAGTATGATAATGAATTTGACCACAAGACTGATTACGGTGAAGGTGTTGAAAGCTGCGGAGCCTATGGTGTGGATTATGATTATGAGGATTGACATGAGATATGAAGAGCTTGGCTTTATGTTAAAATTTTAAAATTTATTATTTGATGTTACATTAGTTTATGAGAAAATTTTGTAAAAATATATTTTATTTTTCTATAATTTTTTCTTTCCTGACACATTCATCACATGACGATGAATATGCTATGAACTTGTGCCCTTACATAGCTTGAGAAAGAAATAAAAGAAAATTTTGATATTATTTGTTAGAGAGGTTTTGCACACCTTGTTTTCTTTTTTGGTAAACAAAGCATAACAATATATTAAGATAAAATAGTTCTGGAGTATTCAGCCCTTACAGCATCCGTTAATTTGAATGATGCTTTAAAATTGTAGGTTTATTATGGATTGAATGAATTATTAGGAATTACAGGTATATTGTTTTCCTGCTTTGGCGACCAATTTATTAGTCGCGACAAATAAATTATTTTTTTTCGCAAAAAATGACAATTGCCGACCAAGAGTTTTGGTCGCAAAAAATACATCTATTGCCGACCAAAAATTTTGTTGGTTGTGGAAACTCACTTTTGCCGACCAACAGTTTTGGTCGCAAAAAGTAACAATTGGCGACCAAACTAATTTTGGTCGCAGAATGTCACAATTGGCGACCAAAAAATTTGGTCGCGAAATGTCACAATTGGCGACCAAACTTTTTGGTCGCGAAATGTGTCAATTGGCGACTAAGAAATTTGGTCGACAAAAGGCGACTTTTCGCGACCAAAGTGTTTTAGCGACAAAATGAAAACTACTTTTTTATTAAATATTTAGCGACCAAAAATTTAGTCGGCAAATCCAACTTTTGCCGACCAACCAAAATTTTGGTCGCGAATTACTTTTGCCGACCCTCAATTGGCGACCAAACTAGCGACCAAAAAATTGGTCGCGGATAACTTTTTGCGACAAAAATAGACTTTTAGCGGCAATTTTTTTGTTGCTAAAAATGTTAATTCTGTAAGTGCCTTGACAACATGTTGTAATGTTTACAGCCCTTTGAAAACAACAAAAAGAATTATGGGATTCTTTGGAGAAAAAAATACAAGACAGAGGATGTCCGGGAATAAAGAAATTTTTGTTATCGTAAAATTTCTGGACTTCGTTATGGTAGATTCCTAAAATGGTAATTTCCTTAAGTTCAAAATTTTCAATTTAATTTTGCAATGATATTCATTCTGAGGGAGCATGTCTCTTAGTGGCCTTTCCAAAGTCACTGCTTTAGTGGAAAGTTACCACCAACTTCGAAAAGATTTTAAAAATTATTTAAAATATAAACGAAAGGAGATGATCATGGAGACTTGATTGTAGACTAAGATTGAGGAAGATAACGAAAGATTGAAAAGAGAAATAGTAAAAAATCCCATTGAATCCAAGGCTAATATGGTTGAAAAGTGCAGCAACCACATAATAAAAGAGGAAGTTTATTAGAGATGGTCCTACAAGGCGACAACATGACAATAAAAAGTTTCAAAGGTAAATGCTATAACTGTGGCAAGACTGGATATCAAGCTTCTGATTGCCACTCTCTAAGAAAGAGTTCGCAAGAGTACAAGCAAGAAGTCACCATCAAGCAAATGTGACAGAATTAGAATTACATCTCTGATGCGGTTAAATGACATGAATCTCTCTGCTGTGTGTCTGAGGCTAATTTGTTGGAAAATCCCAAGGAATGGTGGGTTGACACTAGAGCAACTCGTCACATTTGTGCGGACAAGAAGATGTTCACTACCTACAATGAGGCTACATGGTGAACAACTTTTCATGAGAAATTCTTCTACTTCTATGTTGACTACAAGGAAAAAAGTGAATCCTTGAAGATGATATCAGGGAAAAAACTTACCCTAAAAAATGTACTGCATGTACCAGACATCCGAAAGAATTTAGTTTCTGGATCTTTGTTAGTAAAAATAGTTTTAAGGCTTGTATTTGAGTCTGATAATTTGTATTAACAAAGAGTGGGTATGTAATGGCTGTAAGGGATACATGAGTGATGGTTCTCTTCAAGTTGAATGTAATGACGGTGTACCAAAACTTTGCTAAATTAATGAGAAACATATCTCTTGCTTATATTCTTGAGTCGAATTTATGCAATGGTAGATTATGACAATTATTTTTGATACTTTGTGTAGAATTAAAATTGGTTTGGATTATATACCAAAGTTTGAAATTGATTCTAATCATAAATGTGAGATTTGTGTAGATGCGAAACTAAATTTAGGCTCCATTTTAAATCGGTTGAATAGAAAAATCGAAACTCTAGAATTAATTCATACAGATGTATGTTTGATCTTAAAATTTGTTCAAACTAGAGGAGGCAAAAAGTATTTCAATACAATTTAATCGATGATTGCACAAGATATGTGCTATGTATACTTACTTAGAAGCAAAGATGAAGCCTTAGCAACGTTTTAAACTACTAAAAACTGAAAGTTTGAAAAATCAACTTGGAAAAACCATTAAAATGGTTAGAATATAAGGGTAGTGGATATGAATACAACTGTTAAATGAATTTTCGTGCGTACATGGCATTATTCACCAACTTCAACACCCTATTCTCCATAAGCAAAATGAATTACTGAAAGGAAGAATAGACCCTTAAAACATGTTAGTAAGTTCTGGCTTACCGCATAACTTTGTGGGGGAAACAATATGGTCTGCTAATTATGTCCTTAACAAAAACCCCACAAGAAATTTACAGCAACTCCTTATGAATTGTGAAAAGGTTAATCACATTCTTACAAATACTTAAAAGTGTGGGGTGTTTAAGCAAAAGTTGAAGTTCTTGTTCCAAAAAGGGTAAAGATAGAAACCAAAACAGTGGATTGTGTGTTTTATTAGTTTTATGCTTCAGAATAGTATGCATATCGGTTTTTCTGACTTATAAATTCAGAAATACTGGATATAAATTGTGAACACTATTATAGAGTTAATGAATGTTGTGTTTTTTTGAAACATTCTTTCCTTTATAAGAAAATGACAGGAATTAATTCACAAGAAAGAAAACTTATGCTTGTACCGCAAAGTCAAGAGACTAATGAATAATCAAACGCAAGGAGACTAGTAATGGTTATCAACGCAACAAGATTTAACTGATAAAGAACCAA